ACAGACCCATCCAAAACACTGGCAGCACCTGCCACATTCCTGAGCGGTGACACTGGGTCACCCAGCCAAAACCTTAAAAGCATTCCCCAGTGGCCATAAAACGGAGACTGTGAAACACACACCGACATCTAGATGAAACCGTGAAACACGTGCGTCTCTCATGCTGTCTACGGTGAATGGTGATCATTCCGGGAGTGCCTGGAAAGTTTGTGTGCTAGGAGTGTCACCTGCTCCCTACACCTTGAGAAGGAAACTGCATTGCTCATACAACTCTGGGAAAGCAGATCTTAACTGGGAGTGCTGGGGAAATCCATGTACTTTGGATCAGCTCTTCACGTGGGGAGATCAACAGCAGCTCTCTGCCCCCATGGGCTACCATGGAGGCCCCACATCCATGCTGGACCTCACCAGACATCTCAAGTCCAAACCCACCATTCTTTTACCTGACAAACTCCAGCTGAAAATGCCCAGAGGAGGTCCCAGAGACTGCCAAGGCTGCACTGCCCTGATGCAATGTGGCTCCTGCGTGTTTCTTCTCGTCCCGGTCCCACCAGCCTGGTGCTTCTCTTTGCTCAGTGCTGGGCCAGCTCAGCTCCTGAAGTCCCAGGGCAGGGCCCTTTGGACCTTTGAACTGGGACTCTTGTGGCCAAGGCACAGCTGGAAGTCGTCTGCAGTGCAACCAGGGTGGGGGCTTGAGAGCTGGTCCAAATTGCTCTCCAAGGTTGAGGGTTCATTTCATGGAGATACAGTGGGCCAAATTGATGCCACATATCCATAGCAAGAAGGAGATCTTGCTTCCCATCCCAACGCCCTTCCTCCCTGCTTATCCAGTGCCAGGTCCAGCAGTGGATGGACCCCTGTGTGTGCTGCTGGAAGTCCCTAAAACAGCAGGTAACTCTCCCAGCAAGAAGGCAATCAGCTGCCTGCAAAAATGCAGTCATGGAGCACAACCCCATGGGTTGTTTTCTCAGGACAACACTAACACAGCCACCTCACCGCAAGACATGGGAATGCCTTCACAGTGCTGCTGGAAAGCGCAGCATGATCAAGCCATGGTCACCTATATGGGGACACAGGTAGAGTAGCGGCAGCCCAGGTCGCACCCAAGACCTCCACCTCTGTCCAAGGTGAGAGGTCTGTAACTCCACGCAGAGCTGTCACCCAGCCTTGCACTCGTGTCTCCCAGGGGCTGTCATTTTCTAAAATGGATTTTCTCATTTCAGACCCTGAGCTTTTCCCTAAACCCATTTCAGGCTCTCAGCTGCAGTGCCCAGCTCAGCCCTTGCTGAGACCAGAACTGGTGGCACTTGGGTGTTGGTGTCAGGAATTGAGACCTCTGAGGGGTGCCAGCATGTGACTGGTGCCGTCTCGTGTCTCCACTGGGCAGCATCAGAGAGACCGCGGTGACAGGAGAACCTCAGGGTCTGGCTTCAGCCACTTCTCCATTGAGATACACAGGAGCATCCTTTGAGACAACCCTGCCCAGGCCATGGGGCAAGTGGAGAATGGAGGGGAAGGAGGAATGCCTTCGGTCCTCCAGGCCCTGCTGCAGGCTCACCTGCCACCAAACACCTCCCTGAGCATTGTTTCAGCTCCTGGGTGAAGAACACCCACGGCTCCCCAGAGGGATGACAGCCTATGGCCAAATTGGTCTCCCAGGCCGGAGGTTTGCCACAAAGCCTGGCTCTCATTTTCCTCTTCTCAAGCCCATCCCGTGATTCCAAGTCCTGCATTCTGCATCAAGCCAGGGACTTCCTTGCCCAGGTTTGGGCTGACCACCGGCTGCTCCCACCTCTGCTGTATCCCATCTCGTACCCACTAGCACTGACTATCCTAACTCTGCCTTCCCTGGAGCCCAGGCAGGAGGAACACAAAGCAGAGCAAAGAACAAAAATCGCCTTTCAGAAGCACACAGCGTGGCCCGTGGCAGGCTGCAGGATGGTTTCTCTGCCCGCCTGGCACTCCACTGCTTTCACCAGCTTGTCCCTTACACAACAGATGCCTTCAGCAATCAGCGTTCCCAAAAAGGGCAACTGCGTTTTAATCCTGACAATGGCAGCAGCAACACGAGCTGTTTTCCTAACGTCACATGTGCCAGTAGCTCCCGTGGATTTCACTGGATGCTGGCCAGGAACGCGCATTTTTGGGTAGCACATGTTTTCAGGTTACTCCCAATAAACTGATAACTCACTTCAGCATCCAGACTGTTCCTTCATGTAAGAAGAAAACGTGTCCACATGACAGCTGGGCTTTCTCTGGCCACAAGCCCCGCTGCTTTGGCCAACCTCCGGGCATCTGGCACACGTCTGCTGCACCAGGCCAGCAGTGCTGCTGGAGCCCTCTGACATTGCCACCCTGGTGACACGACAAGACGACCAAAATCCAGGCGGGCAGCAGCAGGACGGCTGCTCAGTGAGACATGCACAGCTCTGTTTCTTTCACCACAGATAGCAACAAGTGTTTTCTGCTTTGTCTCTGAGATCAGAAGGAGGGATTGCTCCCTGTAAGCTTTTACCACGATGGAAAGAAGAATGGATGATGCAAGAAAAATAGTTTCTTTATTTCCTTAAAATAAAACAAACATTTTCATTTAGAAGTTTCTCCATTAATTAAAAAACACTTATCAGTGAACTCCCTAGTGTATCTACCAGGTTTTTCTGCTGAAGCTTGGTCTGAGTAGAAGCATCCCGTCCAGCTCCAGGAAGAAGCTGTTGCAGACCAGGGAAACAGCAATGGCTTCTCCCCAGCAGTGCCTGCAGCCTCCCGAGGTGGTTCGGGCTGTGTCGAGGGCCCTCGCAGCAGCCTGCTGTCAGCTCCTTCCCTTCTCCCTCTCAGCAGCAGTTTCTCATCCCTGAAGCAGCAGTGACTCACCCGCACAGCCCTCTCCTGTCCCACCCCAGCCCAGCGAGGACTCAGAGACCACCATCAGCCCCCGCCCGAGCCGGGGTCCAGCAGAGCTCACCCTGATGCCAGCTGGAGGACAAAAGCTGTTCTCCAAAGCCCAGCGAAGCTCCCCTGCCTGCTGGAAGCTCAGCCCGCAGCCGCTGTGCACCACCCTCCGCGCACAAAGCTGCGGCCACGCGTGGACCGGCAAACCCGCCCGTGGTCACGGCAGAGCCAAAATCCGGCCACGCAAGCAGGCACTCGGCAGAGGACACCCTCCACGCTCCCACACCATGCGCTGCCAATTAGCTGACAACACCACGATTTGTTTTCAGGAATACTGAGCTGATGAACAACAAAAAAAGGAACCTGACAAACAGGTCGCGGTGACCTGGATCCCAGGCAGCTCTCCCAGGACAAAACTTTCGGTTGCCCTGAGTCACCCACCGCATTCCTCCCCTGACCACGCGAGCCGCCGGGCACCCAGCCCGCCCGCAAGCTCGCAGCGTCCCGAGGCTTCGCCGTAGTCCCTGCTCAGCTCTCGGACTGGAGACAGTGGAAAAGCACGCGGGCATCCTAACGCAGTCAGGGGAGTGAGAGGGGCAGGAGTGAGGTTGGGGAAGCACCGTCATAGCCAGGAGGTCTGGAAATACCAGGAAGAGCACGGTTGCTACACCGACCCAGGGAAAACAACCCCTGCCATTCGAAAAGGAGGTTGCATAACACGAAGGAAAGAGACGGCAGATAAACAGCAACAGCTATTTCTGATGATAATGCAAGAAACACCACACTACAGCCCCCCTCCCCCCGAAGACTCACCACCACGGCCCTGACTACCCTACACTTCCAAATGCAAGACAGTTGCATGAGGCAACTTCAGCAGACCAGAGAAACCGCCACCAGCTAATCTGCCTCAAGACAGCAGCAACGCAGGCGCCAAGAGATAAGAAGAAATAACCCAAAACCTCTCTGACTCCATGCCCCGGAGGACGCTGTGCCTTTCAGGAGCAGTCACTGGGGTGGGAGAGCCCCACTGCTGCCCATCTCCACTGATCCCACCACCATGCGCCAGACCCTGGGAGGAACTGGCAGAGGGACAGGGACCCGAGAGGAGGTAGGCTTGACCCATGATACCTAACTCAACAGGCTCCTTGCCAGAGAAACCACAGCACTGCTCTGTCCATCTGTGGTTCAGGTCCAGCCTGAGGGCAACTGCAGTGACCAAGACATCCAGAGAGGCCACGCAGGGAGAAACATACGCCCAGGCAGCAGTGTGAGCCAGGCCACGGCAAAAGCAGGTTCTTAACCTGAAGCAGACCTGTGGGTTCCTCGTATGAGAGGGGATTACTGCTTGGCTTGTCTTTAGCAGGAAGAAGGACACGCTGGGGTACCTGGGCAGGACTGAAGGGACCATGCAAGAACAGAGCCCCATGATGTTGCGCATGGACCATACCTTTGACACAAGAGCTGGCTTGGTGTGACGGCTCACAGTCCATGGACCGCAGACACCATAAGGAAACCTGGAAAACTCCAAGGTGGAAAAGGATAGAAACGGGAAACACCAACGGAGCACCAGCAAGGGCTGTGCAGGCTGGTGACCCAGGCTGTGGCCAGCAGAAGGACAGGGTCGGTGCCTCGGTTTCCTTGGCCGTGGCAAGGCAGGGGCTGTGCTGGGGAGGGGTGACAGCACAGGGAGGAGGTGAGCGGCCACACGTGCAGCTGAGGCAGGATCTGGTGACGTGCACGGCCCCACACCGCGTCAGAGGCTGGGCCGGCCAACCGGG